TATATATATATATATAATCACCAACAATATATATATATATATATATATATATATATATATATATATATATATATATATATATATATAAATGATGGATACTACCACTACTGAATCTTCTAGATCTGACTAAAATCTCAAATAATTCAGTTTTATTTTTAAAGCACTATATTTAATAACAAATTCAGTTCAGATATTATTTCCATTTATTTAGGAGGTTATCTAGCTGGGGTAACATTAAATATTGAAAAAGTTAATTGAAAAATATAGGCTGTTAGAGTGAGAAATACAATGATTTTCTGTGGGGAGCCCTGTTGGCTCCCTGAAGCTATCCATACTGATAGTGCTATATTAGTTGGAGTCATCAGTCGCAGAGTTCTTGTTGCCTACCAAGAACCAGAGCCAGAACCTGACCCCTCTCATAGAGGTGCAGGGAGCAATGGCCTATGAACACTCTACATTTAAAGTATACAGGATAAAAACCCACACACTTGTGTATTTGTGAAATTTATGTAAAGAATTTACACCAAGTCTTTTGCACTCTCCTGAGTGCTTTATCAAGGTGTGAGTATGTGATTAGAACGAGATTTACAACTCAACGCCTAATGAGGCTGCTATCCTGGGTCCAGTCCCCTTATTCTTCTTGACCGCCTGACTATGTCACCTCTATTCCCGACTGCCAATGTACCTGCGGTAATGTCTTCTACAGAAACACAGTATGGTCACGTGACCTTTCTGTAATCCTGCTATTCTGGGAACTGGATTTTGGGTGCCTTTCCCAGTCGATGGCAATTATGACACTTTAAATGTAAAGTGCTCATAGGCCATTGCTCCCTGCACCTCTCTGAGAGGACCAGGTTTTGGCTTGTTGTCCCCGGTAGGCATAAGAACTCCCATGACCGATGACCCCAAACTAATATTACACATGTCAGTTTGGATAGCTTCAGGGAGCCGACGTGGCTCCCCACAGAAAACTTAATATTTTACAGTACTGTATTGCAACATTAATCTTAAGTTTCAGTATTATGGCTACATTATACACCACAACAAAAGCCTTATAGTGAGCAATGTGCAAAACAGAACTCAAACATTAGGTGCAAATGTGCTGTGCTCCACTCTGCCCCTTTCTGTGCTCAACAATTTTCACACAAAAACTAGAGTATACACAGTGCAACCTCCAAAATCTGGATTATATTATTCCAGCCCAGATCCAAATTTGCAAAGTTTTTTTATGTATTTATCACAAAATGTTTCAAAGTTTGCTGTTTTGAAATGGCAGAACATATCTATGTACATATTAAATACACAAATAATATTTAAAAATGCATAGTGAATACAAAAATACTAAATGATATAGCAAAATTTGAGTGGTGTTAAATGCTCTCTTAAGAGAGGCACCTCAGTCAGTGGGTCCTTGAGCTATAATACTGATCCACGAAGACCATCAATAATGCTCAAAGTCCTGCACAACTCCAAACTCAAACTGAGGCTATTACACCAAACAACAATTCTACAATAAGCAACTACCCAAAACAGTCCCCCAGCAGATGGCAGCATCAGCTAGGATCACTGCACCATTTTAAGCTAAGTACACCCAAGCAAACTTGGGAAGACAGAAATAAATGAGCATAAATGGAGAGCAACTGACATGCTGCTAAAATACCAATGAGATGCATCCTGTTGAGGGTTGCCTCAGTGGCAGCTTGTAGGTAGCCACACTGAGATAGCTCCACATATATGTCACATCAGGTCTAGGAGTCCTTTAGCAGTCTATCGAAGGCCAGAAGCCAAAATCTAGCCACCTTACAGATAAGCAGGGGATTTAATATTACCCTCACTTAAGAAACAAACCCCCAGAAAGAAGTGAAGAAAAACAGACTACTGCAAGTTTCACAAAAGTAACAGAACAGCAAATAATGCCACAAATGATTTATCCAGTAGTTAGGTCATAACCCCCCACAAGTTACCGCTGACCACAGCCAGGTGGCAGCACCACCAGAGTTGCTGGCTACCCATGTCAACAATCCTCAATCCAGAGCCAAAGAAAAGGAACCAATGCACCTAGTAGGGAGGGGAGGGGAGGGGTCCCGGAAGACATTAAGGCTCCCCAGAAAGAGGCATTTCATTAATTTCAACTTTTATTTTCTAGTGGGGGCAAACAATGGCATCCTGTAGCTAACTAGCCATAGACGAAAGGCTAAAATGAACTCGCTAGGGAAGGAGAGCAAGGATCAAACTTCTGAAATGGAGAGCCCTGGACAGGAAACCCTACCCAGGGTAACACAAGCACAATGGAGTCCCAGGACCCTGTTACACCTTCAAAACCCATAAGCCTGGGGGACAGCAAACTTCCGAATATCATGAGCTTGAGAGTAAACTACAGAATTGGCTAGATTTAATGATGGTGCAGACAACCTGAGACAAACAAGTCTTTGAATAAAGGACAAAAGAAAAAGAGATATGCAAGTAACATGTCCCCAAAGCAACGTTCATAGGTAGCAACAAAAAGTCGCAACCAGACAAGACAAATTATGCACCCCTGGCCAAACAAACCATGACCACAAATCAATAACAAAGAGACTTCTCCAGAAACCAACTATATCATTCATTGGTAGAAAAAGAAGAGAAGACCGCATATGAAGAAATTGCCCACCAGGGCCAAAAGAAAAGAACCACCACTTCAGAAGGAAAGCATGAAGCTCCTAAACCCTACAACCGGGAGTGAAAGCCAATGAAAACAAAGCCTTGAAAGAAGAATCATGGACCGAAGGGGCAACTGAAAACCAAGGTGGCGGAAAACACCAACACCCTAATATAGAAACCAAAAAAGCTCAGAGGGAGAATAAGCCGGAGGTGAAAGAAAATGCGCAAGACACCTTACAAAATGGCACCGAGGAAGTATCCACGCCAAACACCATGGTCTGAATGTGTATAATTAATATTACTGGGCCACCCACGGCAAAATACTCACATACACAAAAACTCTTTTGTACAATTTATATTACAATGCAATACAGTGTAGAACATTTAACAAAATTAGCTAGAATTTATTACTAATAAAATAAAAGTAAAAAATTCAATTGGCTGTAAATTATTATATGGAGTCAATCCATATTTCATTGCTTAAAACTTACATTAATGTGGATTAAATTTAGAGTTCAGACAGACGATCCGAGAGCAAAGTATGTACTTTGGAGTTTCTTATTTTTTATTTTTATTAAAGAGAGGTCCAGATTGAAGAGGCTGCATTGAAGAGAATATACAAAAATTAGGCTTTAAGGACTGGATAAAAAAGAATCTTTCAGAACACTATTTGACTGCTCCTTATGGAATGTTCAACAGTGCCCTTGGACCAGAACATACCAGTTATGCAGGTCAACTTACTGTAATAGCATTGGCACCAAACGGAACATTTAAACGAATTACTGCAGGATCATTATGATACCATGTAGTCACTGGAAAACATCAAATCCAGCCTAGAATGACCGCTAAAGATCAAATCATAAAACTTAGTCCTTATGAACCTTTCCATAGCATCACAAGTAAATGCCAAGGAAGAGGCCTCACTAACTACTGGTTGGTCTACTTAAGCACCCCACTGCCATTAGGCAGCAGCATCATACACACCTCGGAGTTCCCTCACTCCACAGCCCACACTTACTTTTGGATGCAAAGATACTGCCTCTGCAGTGGAGGATAACATAGCTCAACTCTGGCACTCTGTCTGACTCTAATGATTTATTAAATCTGGTAGAAATATGGTAAGAGGGCAAGGTCATATGGCCAGGGGGCAGGCAACACAGTATCAAGACCAATAACCACACCCAAATGAGGTTCCTGCAGCCCAGAACCTTAAACTCAATTTTGAAATTTCCAGAGAACCCAAGCAAAGCAACCTTCAGCCTGAAAACCCAAGTCATAGGATCAAAGGAAGCACAGGCCACTACAAGCACTTTCTCCTTCCCTGGAAAAGAAGAGTTGAGAAAGAAGCACAGTGCAACAAAAAACTAACCAGGAAGATTCAGGGAGCTAACTAAAAATTGCAACCTTGTAGGCAAGGCATGTAGCAAGGAAATCCTCACACTACTTTCTGAAACAATGAGACAAACAACTTAATCAAAGCCATGCCTATTACAACAAAATGACACAGTACATCACTGAACCTCACCCAAATGTTATCTTGAGATTATCTTGAGGTTATCTTGAGATGATTTCAGGGCTTTAGTGTCCCCGCGGCCCGGTCCTCGACCAAGCCTCCACCCCCAGGAAGCAGCCCGTGACAGCTGACTAACTCCCTGGTACCTATGTTACTGCTAGGTAACAGGGGCATAGGGTGAAAGAAACTCTGCCCATTGTTTCTCGCCGGCGCCCAGGATTGAACCTGGGACCACAGGATCACAAGTCCAGCGTGCTGTCCGCTCGGCCAAACCGGCCGGTTATACGTACTCATATATATATTAACCAGTACATATAAGCAAAACCTTCAGTATAACCAGTTAGAAAGTTTATAACAATGAAAACAAATTACACTCGACTAAAAATTTGATCCACTTCTACCAAATGCACGTGGGACATCAGACAGACGAGGGTTGTTGGGTAAGGAAATCTGAAGGTGTTTGGTGCTGCCACCTGGTGACAGTTTCTGCAGGTAACTTGACAGTTCTCATTCATGTATGATGTCACGACAGGGTTTGTAAGAGAGAGTTTTTATGATTTGATCTTTGAGGTCACTCTGGACTGGACTGAATATTCTGCAGAGATTCCCTAGAACCTTAATGACCCTTTTGGGACTATACAAAACATACCTTTGGCACCAATACCAATCTGTCATCCTGTTCATGCTTTGGTCTAGAGACACAGCAGAACTTACTCTAGATAACAGCCAAATTATTTGGAAAAGCTTACAGTTTAAATTCTTCTTTTTCATTCACTGCACTCCAATACACATGCAAAACACCTGCATTCCATAAATTAACTCGGCTAAAATATGTGCCTGAGCAAACCTGTAGTGGGTGATGACTGGCCGAAAAAACTTGTCGCTGGACAGTCTGCAGCGCGAGTGAAGGATATCAGTCAAGTGCTCAATATTTTCAAGTAATATCAGTATGTAAAAAAGTTATAACTTAAGTGTATTCTTACTTTCAACACCAGATAATGCTATCATTAAATTGGCTAAAATTACAATTTAGCAAAGAGAGCGAGACTGACCTTTGACAGTTTGCCGAAGCTGATTGATCTCGTCGTCAGTCAAAGAAAAATCTTGGTTCTTAAGGTCTGTTAGGAGAGATTCTGTTGTCTTTTCCAGGGCACCAACTCCCCTAATTCCTTCTACCAGTTGCACAGGCTGTAGATAACAGTGACCCATTAAAAACACCATGATAATACTTTGTAAATTTCAGTAGGGACTATGGAAAATATGGACTGGTATTTAAGTGAGCACAAATAATTTTAAGCCAATTTTAGAATGCTGACTTGAATAATTTGATGAAAACCTGAGATTATGGCAAAGTGTAATATCAGTACAATATCTGTGCAATAAAAACATTCTAGAAGTACTGCACTTATAAGAATGATTAGCCTATACTGTAAATCTTAAGGCAAGGTTGCCTGCTTTTCAGTTGGTAGTAGTGTTTGCCCACTGCTGCCTAAACAACATCATGCCTCTAATGTAGAACAAAATAAACCTACATACTTTTTAGAAAAATTCTGAAAAGGGTTAAGTATTCTCTTATCATTAAATGTAGGCAGTTACAGTGTACTCTCAAAAATACAATCACATCTTTATGGGTTCACTCTGAATTCCTGAATTAATCCCTTTTTTTTGGCTATGTTTATTGCAAATGATGATACACATTTCTGCATATTTTACACAATATAAACAACATATATTTATGGTAATTATAATACAGTACTGTATATATAATATACATAAATGTTAAAACAAAATTATTTACTTTTGTAGCAGAGGCTGGTGCTCGTTACCCAAACAGAGCAAAATGTGGTTACTGTAGCATGTACCAATTCCCATCACCTTCTGTATCACAATGACACTATTTGATACTGTCACATTATTATTATTCAAATACAGTACAGTATTACCTTAACATTACAAAGCAAAGCATATTACCTGAAAACTTGAAAGAACAATTTCATTTTCCGAGGCATTAACCGTTCCCACATTCTCCACTATTTCCACCAGGTCTGAGATAAACTTGGCATCATAGATACCTCGCTCCTCCCAGATGTTGAAGATCCGTATAATCTTGGGTCGAATCTTTTCATCTCTGTTAAAATTTAGAATTATAAATTTATGTTATACTTGTAGCAGAACTATTAAATTAACAACATCAATCTAAACATACAGTACAGTACTGAATTACTTAATTTTCTTTATTAACATTTACTGAAATATAGAACTTACTGTAGTGCCCATCATAACAATCGTGCATTTCTTTATAAAACATAAAACGTCTCACAAGCATTCTGTACAGTATACAATACAGATAAATGTAATTAGAGAAACAGCCCAAACAAATTGAAGAATCTTGATTTGAGATAAATAAAAAAATACGAGAACAGGGCTATCCACTGTACTGTCGCCTTGTATCATGTGACGCTGGCGGGTCCGCTCCAGCTTGCGTTCGGGGTGGATGTCACTTTTGCCCCGTTCCATAAGCTTTCTCGTGCTTTGTTTCATCTCCAGTCTGCTCATGCACTGCCTGAGTCTTCCTGGTCCTTGGACAGGGTGCTCTCCTATCTTTCCTCTCCTCGGATTATGGTGGCCCCTTCGGTTCAAGATTGTTTTTCCAAGGCTCTGTTTCTGTTGGCATTGGCCTCTGGCAGTCAGTTCGGTGAGCTTCATGCTTTCCTCCAGCGCAGGAGTTTCTGCTTTTTTGGTCCTAGTGGTCAGTTTGTTCGGTTGTAGCCATCTCCTTTTCTGGAGAAGAACGAGACAGCTGCTTTCCGGAGGGGTACTTGGGGTCATTGATGCTTGGTTGGCCAGGCTGGGGGTGTATCGTGTGTTGTGTCCTGTTTCAGCTCTTCACCATTACCTATGCTCCTCGGCCTCGGTGGCTGGGGATGTGCTTTGGGTTGATCCAGTTTCCCTTGTTCCCTATTCCAGAGCTCAGGTCTTCCAGGTCGTCTGCAGGATTATTAAGTCTAGCCAGCCTACAGTCTATCCTCTTGCCCATGATGTTAGGAAGTTTGCTGTGTTGGCTGCCGTGTTTGGCAACATGTCCTGGGCTGATATTCGGATTTTGGAGGTCGAACAGGGTCCTGGCTGCCCGTTATTTGGTAACACTGTCCATGAGCTCATCTCTCCAGTTATTGGCCAGACCTAACTTGATGTATCCATGCTACAGGTTATGCTGTACTCCAGGAATGCATCTTATCATGTAAACAGAACACCTATGGTACTCTACTAAATATCATTCACCTCAATCAATACTTGACTTATCAGTTCTTACCTGACTAATGGTACTGCTTCTTTGATGGCTGTAGCAAAATGCTGGACGAGGTCCTGGAGCTTTTTGCGCCGGCTATTTTGTACAATGTCATTGCACACGTAAAACAAAGTCAGTCGATGATGTACCTTTGCTGTAATGGGCATGGATATCAATTATTTATAAATGAATGTTAATACACTAAATTTCTAACAAGCAATAAGGAGGAGGAGGAAGACTTTTAATTTAAAACTTTAAATCTACTTAACACTGTAAATTATTTCTTTTTTGAGAAGAATCATAGTACAGTATTGCACATTTTGTACTTCACACAAAACCACTTTCACCCACCTTTTCGAACCGAGCGAGACCACGCCTGGATGATGGAATGGTGATGGTTTTTGTGCTGGAGACACCATCGGGAAAGTGACTGAATGTCTTCTGACGTCTCTCTTACTGCTGAGAGACGCTTCTCGAGGGACCGAGAATCCATCTTGTTTTCCTTGCTCTTGCTCATTTTGTGTTGTTTACGAGTTGGGCGCAACATGAAGACTTTTTATCTCGCTTGTACTGTAACCTTATGGATGCACAACAGCTTTTCGGTTTCGACAATTTTCAGCCCTTCTAATATTGAATCCACAATGATATTTTTCTAAGCATTAATAATTATAATTTTTTTTATCAACCTTAATTCTTTGCCATAGATCAATCACACAGGAAAAAGGCCTTTGTCACATTATATTTACAAAATTTACTTTGCATACCCTTACAAAATGTATTAAAATTACTATACACAGTACAATATACTGTATTAACAATCAATTTCACTAACATATAATTTATCATTCAAGCATTACATATTTAAGTGCTAACTAGAGTACCTTTTCTGCAATAGTATAATGAGTTACATTTTTGTATAAACTAGCAAACAAATCTCGTCAAAATTCTGGTACAGTAGACGGTACATAAAAATTAAATGTACAGTAATATGCTTTACCACACTGTCTTCTGAAGCGCAGCACTCAACACATCAATGGCAGGTGCTGAGCTTGGATCATGTTTAACCCCTCACTTGACACTACACATCACTCTTAATCTGAGGAAAGACAAATAATTATAAATGTCTGCATCATATCCAGCACACATGGCAAGTAAATAAGAGTGCACTGGTTGATATCTTCAAATTGAATTAGGCTTAACTAGATGCAGACGAGGAGTCACAATAACGTGGCTGAAATATGTTGACCAAACCACACACTAGAAAGTGAAGGGACGACGACATTTCGGTCCATCCTGGACCATTCTCGAGTCAATTGTGACAATCGATCACACGATCGATTGTCACATCGATCGATTGTGGCAATCGACTTGAGAATGGTCCAGGATGGACCGAAACGTCATCGTCCCTTCACTTTCTAGTGTGGTTTGGTCAGCTTAACTAGATGTTTCTTTAATTGCAGGCATATCCCACAAAACAAAAAAACCAGCGTTGAATGTAGTGAAATGCAATTTTCTGGGTGTGACCCAGAAGCTCCTTGGAGCAATACTGGGCTGGTATATATATATTAGACCATGGCAACAGTCAATCGATCAAGGTTCAGTCAATCGAACTGAACCACAGAAACGTTGGTCCGCATAACTAACAACAGGCAATTAACATACGAAACTAGTCTATTGTACTAATAGAAATTCACAAAGAATCTGGAAATGCAATTTCATCAATACAGTATGATTCATTTATCACTTTTTATTGAGGTAGTAATTATGTGAATTCAAATTCTGTTACAGTGTACCTATCACAACATTGGTTAGCTTAAGGACCTGCCTGAAAGATTATGCGTGTTAGTGGCTTCGCAAGAATGTTCCACAATCACTAACGTGTCTATCACAACCTGTTGTACCTTGTTGTACACTTTACAGTATATATAGAAATGGGCCTAAATAAAAAATAACCAAAATATACAGAATCTTTGGCTAAGTTAGTTGTCAGGTGAATCCCCTGCATAGCAGTGGAACTGCCTTTTCCCTTCACCTTCAATGCCTCTGCACTGGAAGTCTACATCTACACCAGCCCAGATGAGTCCTTAGTCCAGCCAACTCTCTGTACCCACCAGGGCCTGGCACAGCCTGGTATGGCTCAGAGGCAAGCTGGGTGCCTCTGCTAACTGGCAGTTTGCCCCCACAAACAAGCAGTTAGCCGCCTTCAACTGGCAATGGTGCAGCTCAACACAAAGGCACCGCCAGCCACAACGAGCAGTTTGCTAGTTGACCAGAGGTCCACCTCGCGTTGACACTGGACGAGTCATCATCGCCAGACTATATAAAGGGCACCGCCTCCCTGGAGAGTCAGTCTCTCCCTTAGAGCTCTAGGATCACCGTGGTTTCTTTCACCCGTCGTCCGCCTTGAGCCAACGCCGTGTGACTGATGCCATGTTGGTATGGTAGCTGTCTTCAGTACACCAGTATATCTTTTTGCTTTGTATTAAACTTTCATTTACTTATTTGATTTGCTATATAATAATACCCAAGTATTGTCATGTGTAATTTTTGTTAATTAATATTTCAGTAAATTGTTTTAATTATTTATTTGATGATTTTCATTTGTTTCCACCATGCAACTTATACACTGCAAGGCCAATAGCAGCATTTTTTTTTATTTGTGTGAGGGAGAGCCATACCATCTTGGTTCAGTATAGCTGCGATACCACAACTCGTCACATAGTAAATAGTGTATGTGCTGTAAAAGGCCTAGTTTAGGTTTGATTGTTGCCTTCTTTCTCATGCCCTCTACAAAATTATTAGTACAAAATGCAAACTATTTTTTGTGCAAGTCCATTTTTTTACACTCCACCCACAGTTGCTATATTATTATTATTACACAGAAATGTCATTAACGTGATATATATCAATGAACAAATCCAACAGGAGCCTTGATGAGGCTTCGAGCCCTATGTGGTGGGTGTTGCCAGTGCACAGGGTGTTACCATGTGGTGGGTGTTGCCAGTGCACAGGGTGTTACCATGTGGTGGGTGTTGCCAGTGCACAGGGTGTTACCATGTGGTGGGTGTTGCCAGTGCACAGGGTGTTACCATGTGGTGGGTGTTGCCAGTGCACAGGGTGTTACCATGTGGTGGGTGTTGCCAGTGCACAGGGTGTTGCCATGTGGTGGGTGTTGCCAGTGCACAGGGTGTTACCATGTGGTGGGTGTTGCCAGTGCACAGGGTGTTGCCATGTGGTGGGTGTTGCCAGTGCACAGGGTGTTACCATGTGGTGGGTGTTGCCAGTGCACAGGGTGTTGCCAGTGCACAGGGTGTTGCCAGTGCACAGGGTGTTACCATGTGGTGGCACAGTCGACAAGAGCGCGCCTGGGAACACCCAGCACATGGGTTCAAACCCTCATCAAGGCTCCTGTTGGATTTGTTCATTATTAATATCATTAATTATCAATTATTAGTATTATTAATTTTTATTCATAAGAATGTGTGTACAAAGAACATAAACGGGAAGGAACAATTGTAGGTACAGGGGTTACACATACAAATGAAGCCACTACCACGCAAAGCATTTTGGGCAAGACTTAAAAAAAAAAAAAAAAATTATAAAAAATTATTTATAGATATCATGAAGTAAACACTTAATGCTAAAAGAAAAGTATTGTAAACTAACACATGTGAGTACAATACTCCCATTTTTGGAGGACACGTTTGGGAAAATGGGTTAAACTGACATTTGTCTTGAGGCAGGCACCCGGGTGTCCAGATGCTTGGCCTGCACTTAACTCAAGACGCCCAAATTTAGTTTTTCTATATTCGTGGGTTCTGAGTATACACCATCCAGGTCAGTGTAATTTAATAGAACAATGTCTCCTTTTTCTATTCATGACTTTTACAAGAAATTTAATTTTACCAGGCACTATTTCTCGAGCCACCAAGCGCATCAATAAATTTTGTATACATGTAGAGACAAGCAAATGTACCCTAAAGCATCCATTCCAGTGCCATTTAGAGAAAGTCATCTCTAGAGTGTCACATCATAACCCTGCGATGAACCCAATATAAATACTTATTAGCCCACCTTCTAACATCACCTGAGGTGTCGGGAGACCGACATTACTAATCCCTCATAACATCCACAACTTCTTGTAGTGTTAAGCATCACCCTAAGATGTATTACATACACACACACTAAACATAAGTATAATCAATGTAGACCATAACTGTGATTTAGCTATAAGACTTGTCCAAGAGGCTACAAAAAGTTGTAGCCTCTTGTTGAAAAATGATGTATACAGTTGATGTATACATTCTGTATACATCAACTATGCACTCTTACAATAAAAATGCTTTACTGTTGTTTTATTAATATAATGTATAAGGGGGAACTGCACATGTAGAAATGCTTGTTTACAAAATGTGAATCCTTGCCTACAACCCCCTGCCGCCCCCCCCCCTAGTCTTGCCTCCCCGGGGGCCTGTTGCCCCCCTAGGGTCCCCAGCAGCCACTTCCCCAGCGCCCCCAGGGGGTCAGGGTCTGGTCAGCCCCGACACCAAGACAATAGTGAGTGTGTCACCAAGACACAGTAACATGTCTGGTCACACACACACACACAAACACACAAGGCCACTCTTCCTACTGTACCTTTTATCCGCTGTTTCAACTCCCTCGGCACCAAGCACTCACTGTATAATATAGCCGATACACTTCACATTAATAGTAAAACCATGTGACTTTCCCTAAATGTCATGGCAAGTCGTATTTTGGCAGTAATTGATCACTTTTGTGGCAAGGTTTGGGTGGTGAGGAACGCACACAAACAAACATGGTGGAGCTACCCAAACACCTTGCCAACTCTCCACCCAATTATCGCCACCGTCTCTCACCTTCTCTTACAACCACCACAAAACGTTGGCTCAAAATCTAACACGTTCGTGTTGTTAATGGAATTGCCTAATCTAGGAACTCCTATATGGTAATTTATATGCACTGCTTCTATATTTTGAGAAAATGTAAGACAAAAGGTGTTCAAAGAAAACGCTCTACAAGTTAGTACTTTTCGGGGGGTAGCTGTTTCAGAAGAGATTTGTATCATTTCTTTATTTATTTATTTATTTATTTATTTATTTATATACAAAAAGGTACATTGGGTTTGTGAGAATACATAGCATAGTATTTACAATCTTGTAAAGCCACTAGTATGCGCAGCGTTTCGGGCAGGTCATTAATCTAACAGATAATTTTTATAGGTAAATTCTAGCAGAGTTAATAAAATGATAACAGATACATTGCAAGAAAAAATGGGTTATTTCTTTTTCTATTAACAAGTTAAGGTATACACAGCAATGTACTGCTATCATATTCTGTATGATATATTGTGGTAACATCAGAAGAGGACATGATTAATCAAATACATAGAGAAAAGTCCATCCCTTCGTGTGGACACAATATTCCAAGATGGACTACAATTATAGAAACCCAGGTAGAGGTCCAGGACGATGACTACACTACCCTCGAGTACACTATCAAGGAATGAGAGAGGAATTGCAAAATACCTCCTGGAGGGAGTTAACAAGATATCAAGTCATGGGGGTGTTACTTGCTTAGGCAGTAGATCTTGCCTGTTTCCTATACCGCCTATACACCAACGTATGTGCATGCTCCAACATGAGGAATCAACAACAACGACAACAACAATACGTGTTCAAAACGTATTGGGTGTCTAGACAGACCTCCTCCCCCCTCCACCCTATAGTACACCTGGACACCTGCTCTCTCGAAAGGGACCAGACGCAACTCGCTAACGACCATTCTCCTGCCGGCCGATGGTTACCTACAAGAATCGCGCCATTTCTGACGTCATTCACATATATATATATATAGAAGATACATCCACTAAGTATCGCCAAACGTTTTGCCCAGAGAGCAAATCGTATCCAGCACACAGTGACACCTGCTACCACCGCCGTAACCAGCTAACTGCTCATCCTCTGCCTGCCTGTCGCTGATTGGCTGGTGACTCGTCGCCCCTGCCCTCCGCCTCCACCACAAGTCGACGTCTGGGCTGCAGTGCTTCAGTATCGTCAGAATATCTCAGTGCTCCAAGCAGTTGACATCTCTCGCTGGTAGACTAAGCCTTGGCCTTCGTGTACTAAGGGAGGTGGCAGCTCGAAGCCAGTATTCCAGCACCACTTATATTTTATTTTGCTATCACTGTAACTTACTTGTCTTAACGTAACTTTTCATTTGCCAGTGATTATTCATGTTATTTTGTTTGTTGACTTGTCCTGCATATTTTTATGTGATTAACTTTATTCATGTCTTGTTTTTCTAGAGTAATTAAAATTTCATTGTTTATATACTTGTGTTTTGTGTCTTCCCATTACCTTACCACAGACGAAAGGACCCACTTTTCTTTTTTTTTCGATTATGTGACGAGGCCCTGCCCCTAGCTTTTGAAACAGCCGAACACCAACGCTTTACCGTCACAATATATATATATATATATATATATATATATATATATATATATATATATATATATATATATATATATATATATATATATATATATATATTACATACATCTACCGCTCCTGTGCCAGGTAAGTCCACTACGGGCTCACCATAGCCCGTGCTACTTGGAACATTTAGTTCCCAGTAGCTGAATCTTAAACAACAACAACAACAGTCGTCCAGAGGTCACGACCTCTCCGCAGGGTGCAGTCGTACTTCCGCAGATCTCCAGTATCAGCTCTTGATACTGGTAATGGCTCAAAAGGGCCACCACTTACGGGCTATTCATGCCCGTGCCACCTTTTAGGTGGCTTAATCTTCATCAATCAATCAATCAAGTCCAGTCATCAGAATACATTCCGTGTTCTCAGCAGTAACATCTACTCTCGCCTCCCCAGGAGACAGTAGAGGCGTACTACCGCTCTTGTATGAAGTCATTGCATCTCTTTTTGAGTAACGTAAGAACTCGCCTGTATTTATATTCCTCTTCATAATTTTGTGTAAAGCCAAGGTTTAAGGGCTTTATTTTTCATGAAGCATTACTTATTATTTTGTGTGTTATTAAAGTCATTTTTGTTAAATTAAATGTTAGAAGTTGCGGTAGTTGTTTCCATCTTGTGGCCAACACACAAAATAAGATACATTTCCAGAGAATAGAGTAGAAGCTATTTCTAACCTCCTCTACTTCAGGTTTGACAAGCCGTCGGCTTCCTGTCCTCGCTGAAGACAGGAAGCCGCTGAGTGTTAGTGGCTCTCGGGTAAATTCAGGTAAGATTCATACAATACCCGGAGAGTAACCTGCGTACAGACTCGATTCCTCATCGTGGCTCTACTGATTTTCTTATTGATACATTATGTTAATCAGTTATTAATTGATTGATTGATGAAGATTAAGCCACCTAAAAGGTGGCACGGGCATGAATAGCCCGTAAGTGGTGGCCCTTTGGAGCCATTACCAGTATCAAGAGATGATACTGGAGATCTGTGGAGGTGCGACTGCACCCTTCGTGACGGGAGATGTCTCCCGTGATTATTAATTGATTGACAATTCAATTTAATTGATTTGGTTGACCAATTGAAACAATTCAATTTATAATTGAATTATTAATGTGACTTCTTTGTACATTATTATTACCATAACATCGTTAATATAATAATTATTATTGGTAATATTGTTAATATTTGAATTATTATAGTTATTAACATTTTTATTACAGAACTGTATAAAACTTATTCTTAAATAATGGCTACAGTTAGCGTGGATATATTCTTTCTTCATTCTTTCTTTTTGAGTATATTCGTTTTCTCTTATTGCCGGAGGGAAAATAATGGGTGACTACTGTATTATTCATCGTACAATATTTAGCCATATTTATAATTTAAAATGAAATCGTTTAGAATTTAAGATGTGGAAAAAAATGTTCATTATGTGTAAAAGGCCCAATAATGTTTTAATACCGGCTAAGCTCTTAAACGGCACTAATTTTCTACAGGCCTACATGTCAACGGTTATGCTAGCATTATAATAGATGCTTTAATTCATTATTAGAATTTTAAAACATGCCCAAGATCTCTTTTAAATTAAAATTAAATCATGCATCATTTAAAAGTGGTAATGGTCAGTTAATAATGATTTGTCCAGTTATATAAAGGCATATGAATGGCTCTCAGAGCAGCCAATGTTTTGGTTACCAAGATGAAGGTTACCGCGCTCCGCGTCCTTCTTAGTCATCAGAAAACTTAACAAACAACACGTGTATGTAAACTCTGAATGAATTTAACATTAGGAATAATGTATCCTCGCCATAATATATAATAAAATACAACAATAATTTTTTTACCGCTGGAATTGTGGGTCAAAAATTGCGTATTGTGATCATTATTGGAATATGACACTTAGTCTCAACAAAAACATTGGTGAGAGTGTACGCTCGGTGAGGAGAAACGTTTGTTTCATTCACCCTCTGTCCTCAGCAGTGTTCTGAGACTGTCCGGGTGTGGTGAAGGACACCTGAAGATGGGCCACGGCAAGAGGAGGCAAAAGGAACCCCAGACAGAGCACAAGGACAGGCGAAGGTAAGGAAACACTTGTAGTGGACCACCAACCCGAGGCTCGACCCTCGCACACTATCCACCAATAACATTAAATGATTTTTTTGTATTAAAGTTAGACTCGTGCATTGCGGGAGGGCGAGGAGGATGGTGTGGGGCGCGGGGTGTGGGTGTGTGTGTGGGTGTGTGGGGGACACACTCAGGTGTGCGACGTTGGCCTCAAGAGCGACTCTTGACAGTAGGAAGAGTACTGTGGTGGTGGGGGGCCGTGCTGCCTGCTGGCGTGACCTGTGTGCTCCCTGCTGGCGTGACCTGTGTGTACCTTACTGGTGGTGGGTCGTGCTCCCTGCTGGCGTGACCTGTGTGCTCCCTGCTGGTGGTGGGCCGTGCTCCCTGCTGGCGTAACCTATGCTTCCTGCTGGCATGACCTGTGTGCTTCCTGCTTGCATGACCTGTGTGCTTCCTACTGGCGTGACCTGTGTGCTTCCTGCTGGCATGACCTGTGTGCTTCCTGCTGGCATGACCTGTGCTTCCTACTGGCGTGACCTGTGTGCTTCCTGCTGGCATGACCTGTGTGCTTCCTGCTGGCATGACCTGTGTGCTTCCTGCTGGCGTGACCTGTGTGCTCCCTGCTGGCGTGACCTGTGTGCACCCTGCTGGTGTGACCTGTGTGTACCCTACTGGTGGTGGGCCGTGCACCCTGCTGGCGTGACCTGTGTGGACCCTGCTGGCGTGACCTGTGTGCTCCCTGCTGGCGGTGGGTCGTGCTGCCTGCTGGCGTGACCTGTGTGCTCCCTGCTGGCGGTGGGTCGTGCTGCCTGCTGGCGTGACCTGTGTGCTCCCTGCTGGCGGTGGGTCGTGCTGCCTGCTGGCGTGACCTGTGTGCTCCCTGCTGGCGGTGGGTCGTGCTGCCTGCTGGCGTGACCTGTGTGCTCCCTGCTGGCGGTGGGTCGTGCTGCCTGCTGGCGTGACCTGTGTGTACCCTGCTGGTGGTGGGCCGTGCACCCTGCTGGCATGACCTGTGCTTTCTGCTGGCGTAACCTGTGCTTCCTGCTGGCGTGATGTGTGTGCTTCCTGCTGGCATGATGTGTGTGCTTCCTGCTGGCATGACCTGTGTGCTTCCTGCTGGCGTGACCTGTGCTTCCTGCTGGCTTGACCTGTGCACCCTGCTGGCATGACCTGTGCTTCCTGCTGGCATGACCTGTGCTTCCTGCAGGCATGCACTTCTTACATAATAATACTGTATGTTTGTGTGAATGTAAGATGGGTTTTTATCATTGTCACAGTAAACCCAGTGT